TGCTACCAGACATTTCACTTTCCACTGATGATATATACTACTTGTTGATATCAGTAGTAAAAAGATCACAACAAAAGTTCGACAATGTTCTTTTTTATATACATGAACTTTATCAGAAGGGGTTTTTTGTGGAGATTTTAGGAATATCAATAGTTGAAATCATGAGTCAATTGGAGCTAGACCATAATGGATGTGCACTGCTGAGGAGTCCCATACTAGGACGAAATAGCCATCCAGTGCTTCCAGGTTTTCCATGGTGGTCTAGCTTCAATTGACTCATGATTTCAATCTGTGAGATACATGAACTTTATCAATGCCAAACTTTTGTTGTATTCATGTGATTTACATTCGTTCTGTTAATCATGTCAGTGATGTGTTACATTTTAATGTTTTTTTTCTCAATTAAAATACAATGGCAAAACGTGTCACACTTTCTATTTTGAGAATATTTCTTTAACCTTCATGTAGAGACTCATATTTATATTAGAAGGGGTTTTTTGTGGATATTATAGTAACTTCAATAGTTGAGATGATGAGTCAATTGAAGCTAAACCATCGTAGAAAACCTGGAGGCACCGTTTTAAGGCTGTTTCGTCCTATTGTGAAGCTCTTCATATTTATCACTATCTCTGTTGTAAATAAATCTAATAGATGTAATTCATTTGTAATGATAATACCAATTATTCTGTTGTAAAATTATAAATGAATTGTTTAACACACATAAGGAATGGGATTCGAACTCATACGTAGGCTGGTTTTAAGTATATATTTATTAGAGTACTGTCTGTTATTATTATTGACTATATGGAATCTCAATCAGATACATATTAAAGGAAACGGAATACTCACTAGTTTATTGCTTCATATTGATTAGCATGTTTCAATGGACATAAAGAGGGATGTATTAAAATGAATGTAGTGAAATATTATACCTATTCATTATAAGACAATAAGATATATGAGAAAACCAATGATATTACATTATTGTATTATTGAAATGAAAACAAATGTATTGCCTCTTATTGATTGTAATTTTCAGCCATATTCTCTAATCTATGTCTTATTACTATGTAGATTCTCCTGTTTGTACTGTTGTGAAACATGGTAAAAATATATATATATATTAGTTATTGAGGCATTTGACATTGTTATGTCTGCCAATCTATCTATCTATCTATCTATCTATCTATCTATCTATCTATCTATCTATCTATCTATCTATCTATCTATCTATCTATCTATCTATCTATCTATCTATCTATCTATCTATCTATCTATCTATCTATCTATCTATCTATCTATCTATCTATCTATCTATCTATCTATCTATCTATCTATCTATCTATCTATCTATCTATCTATCTATCTATCTATCTATCTATCTATCTATCTATCTATCTATCTATCTATCTATCTATCTATCTATCTATCTATCTATCTATCTATCTATCTATCTATCTATCTATCTATCTATCTATCTATCTATCTATCTATCTATCTATCTATCTATCTATCTATCTATCTATCTATCTATCTATCTATCTATCTATCTATCTATCTATCTATCTATCTATCTATCTATCTATCTATCTATCTATCTATCTATCTATCTATCTATCTATCTATCTATCTATCTATCTATCTATCTATCTATCTATCTATCTATCTATCTATCTATCTATCTATCTATCTATCTATCTATCTATCTATCTATCTATCTATCTATCTATCTATCTATCTATCTATCTATCTATCTATCTATCTATCTATCTATCTATCTATCTATCTATCTATCTATCTATCTATCTATCTATCTATCTATCTATCTATCTATCTATCTATCTATCTATCTATCTATCTATCTATCTATCTATCTATCTATCTATCTATCTATCTATCTATCTATCTATCTATCTATCTATCTATCTATCTATCTATCTATCTATCTATCTATCTATCTATCTATCTATCTATCTATCTATCTATCTATCTATCTATCTATCTATCTATCTATCTATCTATCTATCTATCTATCTATCTATCTATCTATCTATCTATCTATCTATCTATCTATCTATCTATCTATCTATCTATCTATCTATCTATCTATCTATCTATCTATCTATCTATCTATCTATCTATCTATCTATCTATCTATCTATCTATCTATCTATCTATCTATCTATCTATCTATCTATCTATCTATCTATCTATCTATCTATCTATCTATCTATCTATCTATCTATCTATCTATCTATCTATCTATCTATCTATCTATCTATCTATCTATCTATCTATCTATCTATCTATCTATCTATCTATCTATCTATCTATCTATCTATCTATCTATCTATCTATCTATCTATCTATCTATCTATCTATCTATCTATCTATCTATCTATCTATCTATCTATCTATCTATCTATCTATCTATCTATCTATCTATCTATCTATCTATCTATCTATCTATCTATCTATCTATCTATCTATCTATCTATCTATCTATCTATCTATCTATCTATCTATCTATCTATCTATCTATCTATCTATCTATCTATCTATCTATCTATCTATCTATCTATCTATCTATCTATCTATCTATCTATCTATCTATCTATCTATCTATCTATCTATCTATCTATCTATCTATCTATCTATCTATCTATCTATCTATCTATCTATCTATCTATCTATCTATCTATCTATCTATCTATCTATCTATCTATCTATCTATCTATCTATCTATCTATCTATCTATCTATCTATCTATCTATCTATCTATCTATCTATCTATCTATCTATCTATCTATCTATCTATCTATCTATCTATCTATCTATCTATCTATCTATCTATCTATCTATCTATCTATCTATCTATCTATCTATCTATCTATCTATCTATCTATCTATCTATCTATCTATCTATCTATCTATCTATCTATCTATCTATCTATCTATCTATCTATCTATCTATCTATCTATCTATCTATCTATCTATCTATCTATCTATCTATCTATCTATCTATCTATCTATCTATCTATCTATCTATCTATCTATCTATCTATCTATCTATCTATCTATCTATCTATCTATCTATCTATCTATCTATCTATCTATCTATCTATCTATCTATCTATCTATCTATCTATCTATCTATCTATCTATCTATATATCTATCTATCTATCTATCTATCTATCTATCTATCTATCTATCTATCTATCTATCTATCTATCTATCTATCTATCTATCTATCTATCTATCTATCTATCTATCTATCTATCTATCTATCTATCTATCTATCTATCTATCTATTTTTCTTACACTATAAAAGATTGTCAATGAAGATTTGCGAATGAAATTTTCTTCGAAGTTTCTCGTTTTAATCACCTTTTTTAACATATTTCAATTGGTTAAAAGTCAATAAATTACAAATGAACTTCAAAGCTGATTTCCTATATGATTAAAGTTTTGAATGCTATCGATTTTACCTAATAGCGATTTGGATTTTGAATGATGATTCTATAGAGATATATTTGTCTCAGAGTGGTTCCAGGTAGAGTTCAGTAAATGTATAAAGAACTCATGTATTAGTTTGAGTTTTTTATTAGTTTATAACTCATTGAATAGTAAGTTTTTTTCTTAAAGACATTAATATATGCTGTTAACAATCTTAAGTAGCCACTTATAGTTCATTTAAAACTAGAATGACAAATGTTACAATTAGTTTGTTGATAGATTGTTACTTCAAATGTAATTCTCCAGTTCTTTAATCAATATTTAAAGATAATTTTAATAATCTTATCTGACTTTTGATTATTAACTCGATCAAAATTTAGGTTATCCTTCAAAATCAATAATACCCTAATCTTACATACACCTATTGCCCCTCGTCGAGGAGCATAGGCTGTCCACCAGCATTCTCCATCCAACTCTATCCTGAACAGTTCTTTCTACTTGTTCCCAGTTGTTATTCATTCCTTTGATATCTGCTTTTAATTCTTAATGCAATGTGTCCCTTCGTCTTCCTCACTTCCTTTTCCCTTCAAAATTCAAAGTGAGTGCTTGTCTTGTGATGTAATTTGATTATTTCAGAAATGTACGTCCTATCCATCTGCAGCATCTTTCCATATTCTGCTCTTCAGCTGGAATCTAGTTTGTTCTCTCCCACAGTAGACTGTCGTTACTGATGATATCCAGTCAACGAACATTGAGCATTTTGCGTAGACAATTGTTTACAAATACTTGTAGTTTCTTGATGATGGTTGTGGTAGTTGTCGAAGTTTCAGCTGAGTACAGTGGAACTCTTTTGACGTTCGTATGGAAGATTTTTTACTTTGATATTGGTTGAGAGTTATTTTGAGTTCCATATGTTCACTTGTATGAATGCTGTCCTTGTTTTGTCAATCCTCTCCTTGACGTCTGCATCAGATCCTCCTTGTTCATTGATGATGCTGACCAGGTACTTGAAAGATCCCACCTCTTCGAGAGTTTCTCCATCAAGTGTGATTAAGTCGGTGTTTTCCGTGCTGTATTTGAGGGTCTTGCTTTTTCCCTTGTGTATGTTGAGGCCTACTGATGAATAGGCTGTTGCCGCACTAACTGTCTTGACCAGCATTTATCTGTATGTATGGGATAGAAGAGCTAGTTCATCGGCAAAGTCCAACTCGTCTAGTTGTATCCATGCTGTGCACTGTAGTCCGTGCTTCTGTTGAGACATGGAGGTCTTTATAATTCAGAAAACTACCAGAATAAAGAGAAAGTGGGAGAGTAGGTAGCTTTGTCTGACTCCGGTCATCACTTAGAATGGGTCTGTTGGCTGTCCTCAATACACGACTTTGCATTGTAGTCCATCGTATGAATTCCTTATGATGTACACCACAGTGTCGAAGAAGTTTTCATAATGTTCTCCTATCCATTTTAATCTACTACTCAAAAATAGAAACTTATTACATATCACAAATATTCATTTTATCCAGCATATACTTTTCTTTTCTCTAGAAATATGCTCATCCATTGAAAATTGAGCGTTCTTTGAGCAACCTATCAAATATGGTCGATCAGAGGAATCCTGAAAATATATCCTATGAATGTCAAATGGAAAAAACTCTACAAGTAATTTTATCTCATATAATTACGTAATGTTTTAACTTCATTTTTTGGTTATTTTAAATATAATTAATAGAATAATTTATACAATAATTAAGAAATATTAGTATTTCACAGATTGAAATCATGAGTCAATTGAAGCTAGACCACAATGGGAAACCTGGAAGCACTGGACGGCCGTTTCGCCCTATTGTGGGACTCCTCAGAAGTGCGCACCAACGATCCCGCATCCTGCGAGATTCGAACCCGGGACTTATCGGTCTCGCGCGCGAACTCTTAACCACTAGACCACTGAGCCGGCATCCAGTGGTGTTAATGTCTAACTTCAACCAATCCACGAGGTTGCGCCACCGTATACCATTGTCTTCAGTAAGCTGATATCTCTCCCGTACTAGGACGAAACGGCCGTCCAATTCTTCCAAATTTTCCATGGTGGTCTAGCTTCAATTGACTCTCGATTTCAATCTTTGGAATTTCTAAAATCTCCACAAAACCCTTCTGAAAATATAAGTATTGTATTGAACGAGAACAGACAAGTGGGAACAACCAAAATGTTTCTGAATACAGAATTACAGAACATCTTAGTAAAATTTGCGAACCATACAGTAAATACTTCGTTTGTAAAATGTCAATCAATTATCTCAGACTTCATTGTTCTTTTATTTCTACAGCAATCATTCACTGTGTTCGTTCTCTTTTCTTTGATCTTCTTAACATTCTGCCACCAGGAATTTCAATGTCGATTGATGTTACATACTACATATATCTATCGACATTAGTAGCACACACCACAATTAGAGTGAAATAGTGGAGTGAAGATAATTTATGCATCAGATGTATGAGAGATAACTGTCTACTTAGATGATATGAAAAAAACATATTGAAAAATGTGGAAATGATAATCATTAGAAAAAATTACTTACTTACTTACGCCTATTACCCCTCATTCAGGAGCATAGGCCGCCCACCAGTATTCTTCATCCAACTCTGTCCTGAGCAATTCTTTCCAGTTATTATTCATTCTTTTGATGTCTTCTTCTAATCCTCGGTGCAGCGTGTTGTTTGGTCTTCCTCTTTTTCGTTTCCCTTCAGGATTCCAAGTTAGCACTTACCTCATGATGCAATTTTAGGGTTTCAGTAATGTATTTTCTATTCACCTTCAACGTCTTTTCCTAATTTCCTCTTCAGTTTGAAGCTGGTTTTTTCTTTCTCACAGTAGAGTGTTGCTGATGATATCCGGTCAACAGACGTTGAGTATCTTATGTAGACATGCTAGCCATTATCCATCTTTACTTAAAAAGCTTGTGACTTAAGGCTACACCGAGGCGATCCGTACAGGATGCACATATGCCAACATGAGACTGATCAGTTTTAGTCCTAAATAACAATGAGACGATACAGGTAAAACAACATCAAGTGAATTTAAACTTCACACCACTGTACAAGCAGGTGGCTATCAGGACCCAGTAGCTAAGTGGATATCGTGATGGCGTTTGAAGCGAACGGTACTGGGTTCGAGTCTCGGAGTGAACACCAACTCTGGGATGCAGGCGCATCCAGCTGACGATTCCGGAGACGGACGACACGCGCGTCCTGAATTCCACTGCTAGCCACTATCCATCTTTGCAGGTACCAGTTTCGCTTAAAATCTTGAAAACATCGAAAGTATCCACTGAACCTATAAATCTCCATACTACTAAGATGTTATAGAAATATAATTCTAAGAGGTTTATCATCGAATACATTCTGCAAACTGGATTGTTTTGAACTATCTAAATGTATTATGTTTTCAAATGATAAAGCTCGGAATTATATGTTGATGATGGAGTCATTGAATGTCTACATCAGTTATGAATGAAATTCCATGGTTCTTCATTGTGATCTTTAAAATTATTTTATTTTATTATCAAAGACTTTGGATGACATTGATTCAAAACTGATCTATTGTTTATCTTCGCCTTAATTTCATAGTTTGGTTATTGATTTGTCCTTTCTTTCCTTACTTCATTTCTTTCTTAGACAGTAAACCTAATCCTCAATGATATGATTTCTTTATATTCGTTATATGAAATTCTGCAAATTAAACTATGAATACGATTTTAATAGTTCAGTTTATGAATCAATTGAAGCTAGGTCACCATGGAAAACTCGAATGTACTAGACAGCTGTTTCGTCCTGGGTTCGAATCTTTCGGGATGGGATCGCGGATGCAAACTGCTGAAGAGTCCAACAATAGAACGAACCAGCTACCCAGTGCTTCCAAGTTTCTCATGATGATCTAACTTCAATGAATTCATGATCTCAACTAGGAAAATTACTATAAATTGTTTGGATTATAAAATTAAACTACTTGATGTTTTATCTTCTTGAATATTGTATTTAGAAATTGCATGATGTTGTACAATTGAGACAAAAATTACTTCTTGAACGTGCTACATTAAAATCTCAACTTGATAAATTATTACAAAGATCTGTAAATGATGTAGATCTTATTGTTGGTGATGACGATGATTATGATGATGTTGATGTTGATGGTGGTGGTAGTAGTACCGGTGGTGGTGGTGTTGGACAAACACAATCAAGCAATTGTCAACTACATGTAAGTCAGTTATCAACAAAAATTTCAATTTATTTCATGAAGTAATAAGAAGGATTGCTAAGTTAATTGAGTGCTTCTCTTTAGAGTCACATTTTCTAAGCTGAATGATTTAATCTCGGTTCATGATCTCAATCAAAAACTTAATAATCTCCACAACCTCTATACTAGTAATTAACATGTGCTTACTAGTGACTAGCTTCGTGAGGGAATTCTCGGAGTTGTAGTGAGAAGCCGTGACCAGTGGAGCTAATCCATGTCGGGTAGAGACAGGTATATTCTACCTCAGTACAATGGAGGATGGTCGCGCAATTTCGTGGATTGGTTGATGTTAGACATTAACATCATTGGTTTACGGCTCAGTGGTCTAGTAGGTTAAGCGTTCGCGCTCGAGACTGAATGTCCTGGGTTTGAATCCTGCGAGCGAGACCGTGGATGCGCACTGCTGAGGAGTCCCACAATAAGACGAAACGGCCGTCCGGTGCTTGCAGGTTTCCAACTGTGGTTTAACATCAATCGGTTCATGATCATAATCAAAAACTTAATAATCTCCACAACCCCTATACTAGTAATTAATATTGCAACTTTGATTGTAATCCTTACCATAATCGTAGGTATCAGGTCCAGGGGAAATCGAATGCAGTTTACTGCATTAAATAAATGCTAAGTTATTCCGTTTCGATTATTTCATGAGTGGTCAAAATCCTGTCAATTAACATATTAACATTCAATGATGTTAAGCCAACATATGATCAGAGGTCAACTGAACTGAATAGCTAATGAGAATGCAAGGACATATAAATATTTAAAAAAAACCCCAGAATACAATAAACAATAAGTAAGGTTAACAGGAAGGACTAATTTAGTTCTTTTATCCCTCAGAAACTTTACTTTTTATTTATAGTAGAGTTAACGAAGTTGTCCAGAAAGATAGCGAACGTTCAGTAAATTTAATCATCAGTGAGACTATCATTTATGGACGACATTTGAGCGACATTAACGTGACCATGAGAGTGTTCACCTAATAACTAGGACCAAATAAAGGGTATAAACCTGTGTGAGGAATTCAAATTATGATTTACAGTTGATGGTTAAGGTTACGAATTAGCTTTAGGGTTTTCATCACGAACTGACATCAGTTAAAGTGCCGAAACTCTATTTAGCCAAATGGATGGGTGAATTTAACGCCAAAATCCGAGACCTGTTTTCTGATACCTGATTGGTTCGTCCATAAATTATGGTCTCGCCCTTAGATAATCTTTTAATATTTAGTTTATACTTTGTATCAGAGTAAATACTGCAAGCATTTCAATAATAAGTTAGTTGAATTCATGAGTCAATTAAAGCTAGATCATGATTGAAAACCTGGAAGAACTGGACAGCCGTTTCATTCTAGTATGAAACTCCTCAGTAGTGCGCATCCACAAGGTTAAACAATAACACTGTTGGATGCTATCCGGCTCATTAGTCTGGAGGTTAAACATTTGCGCACGAGACCAATAGTTTCTGGGTTCGAATCCTGTGGTCCAGATCGTGGATGTGCACTACTGAGGAGTCCCATAATAAGACGAAACGGCTGTCCAGTACTTTCAAGTTTTCTATGATGGTCTAGCTTTAATCGACTCATGAATACAAGTAATAAAAATACAAAATGGAAAATTATTTCGCATAGATAATATTCTTACTTACTTACGCCTATTACTCCCAACGGAGAATAGGCCAACGACCAGCATTCTCTAACCTATTCTGTCCTGGGCATTCCTCTCCAATTCTCTCCAATTTTTAATCATTCTTCTAATACCTGTCTCCATTTCTCGACGTAATGTGTTCTTTGGTCTTCCTCTTCTCCTTTGGCCTTCAGGGTCTCAAGTGTTGAATGATTGCCTTGTGACTCAGTTGGGTGCATTCCTCAATGTGTGTCCTACCCACTTCCAACGCTTCTTCCTGATTTCTTCCCTCACTGGGATCTGGCTTGTTCTCTCCCATAGTAGGTTGTTGCTGTTAGTGTCTGGTCAACGGATCCAAAGTATTTTGCATAGACAACTGTTAGTAAATACTTGTATTTTCTGGATGATGGCTTTTGTAGTTCTCCAAGTTTCTACCCCATACGGTAGAACTGTCTTGAGATTTGTATTGAAACTTCTGACCTTGGTGTTGGTTGACAGACAGTTGTTTTGATTCCTAGCTGCCGGTTCCAAGCCAGAATAAAGAAGGAGGGTTGAGCATGGGTTTAGCGACCTCATCCCGTGGAAAACCAACTCGCTAAAAAAAACGCTAACCAGATAATATTCATTTAAAGATAAAAAGATTAGAAAATGTCTTCATTGTTACACAATATCCCTACTACATAATCTTACAATTTCCATATTTAAATTAAAATAGTTCGGTATAATATGAATAGATTAACTTTGATTAATTTTACTTCTAATTTTAGGAGACTGGAGATTCTAAATCTAAAGAAACTGTAAAACAAATTCGTGTAAGTTTAACATGTTACTTCTTTTATGTAAGAAAGGTCTTAGTGTTGTACTTTATGAATGAGATGATGTAGACTGAGATAATAAGGAAAAGTAAGTTTAACATTTCAATAGTTGAGATCATGAGTCAACTGAAGCTAGATCACCATAGAAAACCTGGAAGCACTTGACGGCCGTTTCGTTTCATTGTGGGACTCTTCAGTAGTGCGTATCCACGACACCACCTCGCAGAATTCGAACCCAGGACCTATCGGTCTCGCACGCGAATGCTTAACATCTAGACCACTGAGCCGACCGGCATCCGACAGTGTTAATGTATAACACTCATCAACCATTGTCTTCAGTGAGTTGCTATCTTACAACAGGTCCGGTTGAACTTCAGTGCTTCCGGGTTTTCCATAGTGGTCTAGCTTCAATTGACTCCTGATCTCAATTATTAAAATCATTATATATTCTTTCCTTTTACCATAAGTTTTCTATTAATCCATTAATTACTGTTGTATGATTTACTATTCTGAATCTGTTGACGGTTTACTATTCAGTCTCCTTTATTTACAGTCACTTTTTGGCTTGATTATGTATAATTGTTATTTTTATTAGGTGATGTGATATAATCTGGTATTTTATGCATAAAAATGAATGTCTGAAACAACATAACGATCTTCATCTGGTGATCACTGGTCTTATGTTCTCGCTCTTTGTTCGACGCTACTTAGTACTTGGAAAACTGTCAAGCATAGATAATCAGTCTTCTCATCCTTGTTACTTACTAGGTGCTTAAGGTCGTCTATTCATATTAGCTAGTGTTAGAAATAAGGTAGTTCATAATGTGTTTCAATGATATAATTATTTCCCTCACCTCTCCAAACTAATACAAATTGGAAAACTATTGGAAACTAGTGAGCAATAGACAGATGTGATCATATTTATAATCTTAAAGTTTCATTGTAAAATTCTATGTGGTGTGACCCAGTTTCTCATATTTTTAACTGTTAGAGACATGGTAGCCGGTGACCAACGATTGGTCCATACACCATTTGTTCCTTCAAGGTCCTGGAGCCCATGTGCACCAACGGTTTGGAATCATGGTTTTCCAACTCCCTTATGTTGATCATCTGTATCCACCAATCCTGTTAGAGCGCCAGACATTCGCTTCTCATCCTCTCAATTTCGTAAACAACACCCTTGCTACGAGAAGGCAGTGAGTAGGACTTCTATGGTAATGGCTGTATACGCGTGGCCATGTGTGAGTATTTCGAGAGGGAGAGCTGACTCTCTACACCTTCGACAGTACCAGGGCATATGGGAGAATGACCCTTTTCACTCTCTGTCATTTTTGTCGACTTGCATGAAAAATCTAATGTTTCCTATAACGAAAATATCATTTCATCATGCTACAAACGTATCAAATGTAACGTAGTTAGTAATGATAAAAGGAAAATTACAACACTACAAAAGTCACACCTTCAATTAATTTTATCATAGAAACTATTTCAAAATATCTACAATTAGGTAACCTAAGCGGGCAGATTGAATATTTGGGATACCTATTCGTTTAAAGGTTGTCCATAAATTATAATCTCGCCGAGGGTACTAATAATAACTTCCACCTTGAAAACATATTCCATTGATGATGATACTTATTTCATTCCTGAATAAACATTTTTCCATTCGACTTATGTTATGAGCTTCAAATTAGAACAAAGTCAGTTAGTCAGTCAGTCAGTCAGTCACAATGTAGAACTTCGTACGTTCGTAAATTAATTCGAGTTGCCATACCCTACCGTAGCTGCTACCTTGAAATGGTGGTCAGGCTTGCCTATCATGATGAACTAATCGAGTTATACTGGCTAGAACAATCGTCCCTCAAGGTCTTACCATGCCAGGCAGGTCGATTGGAGAACAGTGGGACTAAAAGCAGCAATCCAACGTCTGAGGGCGAAGTCGTACTGCTGACTGCAAGGGGATGTGACGGCAGTAAGATGTTTCCCTCCGACAGCCAGTATCTGCAGCAACGCTGCCTTCTCATACGGAAGGGGTTAGAAAAGGTAGACCCTAAAAATGTCACACTAATCTCCGGTGGTAAGGCCTCTTAAAGGACGGAGCTAACACGTTAAATTAGAAAAAACAAGAATTTAGTGTTTTTTTCCAGGTTGATGATATTTTCACAAACAGAACAATATTCAAAATGTACCAATTTCCATAAATCATCATAATTACATAATTCTTTTTAATTATATGATTGTAGAGTATACTAAAATAAAATCATATTTCTACTCTATTTACTTGCATATAAGGATATATTACATGAAGAAAGAATTAGTTCGTCGAAACAAAGATATGAAGCGATTTTAATCTCATAGTTTAAGGGAAGACAGACAGTGTATACACCTACGCCACTGTGATCGATTCTGAGCCATGTCATCCAGGGTCTACAACCATTGGTTACGATAGTCACGCGGACCCCAACTAAGTAGTCTGCATCTATCTAGTTCTCATGACCATACTTCATAGAATGAATAGACAACAGGACGGTCTCCTTGAATATCTGCTTTAATATCTGGGCTACCTGTTCCTGCCATTTAGATATTTCAACAAGTTATCTGTTACCTTGTTTCTTTTAACAAATCATTATTGTCAATTAATTACACAACCTATTCAGGCGCGTTCGTGAAATGTTCACAACCTTTTACCGTACAAGTTACAAATATCTGCAATGGTAGACATTGTGATATCTGGCAATGTGCATAGAAAAGAACATACATTATTCAAATGTCGATTTCTAAACTGCTAACGTCTATCTGGCGATCACTCAATATGTTATCGTCAGGATAGATCAAGAAATAGGAAAAGGAAACTTGTTGAAATACTTTGTGTTGAGAATTTTATGTTCTACCAAAATATAATATTGAATAAAGCTAATAATAATAACAATAATGTTTAAGCTAAAAGGGATAACGCGATGTTGTTTGAAGCGAACGGTACGGGGTTCGAGTCACAGAGTGAACAACAACTCTGAGATACAAGTTCATCCAGTTGACGAGTTCCAAATAGAACGAAACGGTCGTCCTGGATTCCACTGCTGGCCACTATCCATATTTGCTTAGAATGCTTGTGAATTAAGGTTACATCGAGGCAATCCTCACAGGATGCACATATGCCAATAAGCGAATGATCAGCTGTAGCCCTAAAAATCAATGGGAAGATTAAAGTAAACAATATCAAATGAATCCATTAATTTTGTTTTGTCTTCTTTATAGTTTACTGAATTAGTTAAAAGAATATGACATCGAATTATGATTTTGATTGTTTGAATAACTGAATAACAATCATCATTATTTATATTTACTTACTTACACCTGTTACTCCTCGTGGAGGAGTATAGGCAGCTCACTAGCATTCTCCATCCAACTCCATACTGAGCAATCCTTTCTAACTCTTTCCAGTTGTTATTCATCCTTTTCATATCTCCTTCTTTTTCCCGACGTAATGTGTTCCTTAGCCTTCCTCTTTTCTACTTCCCTTCTGTTGGGGTGATCTAGTAAACTTCTTGCAAAAGCCAAGAAAGACTCAGAAAACACTAAGAAGCATTTTATGCAATCAGCGTTTTCTAGAAGTTTAGACAGAAACATCAAGAAAGTGAAAAGTCACATGTAGAGTTTCTGACTGACTGATTACTATATTGCTACTATGTTTAGCAGCATTCCAGAATCTTCGGGAAACCTAAGGACATCGAAAATACTATAAATACCCTATATTTTCTGTACTAAAACGAACCTTTAGGGTAAAGTGCTTCTCGAATATTTTGCGCTTTTTCTCTCGCCTTCAGGTCGTTGTGTAGTTCTAGCTTGAGGGTTACGAGAATAGCTTAGAAATCGAATATAGCGTTCAATTAGCAAGACTTATCACCTTCAGGATTTCTAGTTAGGGCTTGCCTTATGATACAGTTTGATGATTTCTGTAATATATGTCCTATCCATTTCTATCGTCTTTTCCTAATTTCCTTTTCAACTGGAAGCTAATTTGTTCTCTTTCACAATAAGCTGTTGCTGATGATATCGTGTAACTGTCATTACTGATTATGATCCATTTAGTTGACATGGCAACATAGAATTGATCCTTAATCAGTTTTATTTTTCTTAACTTTCCTTCTTTTAGTCCAAAATTAAAGAATTAGAAAAACGTTGTGCATTACAATTATTAAGACATGAAGAAATTTTATTAGAAATTGAAGATGTACGTAAACGTAGTTGTATCCAATCCAATAATTCATCAATGATGATGGCAACAACAACAACAACATTGAATTCTATAAAAAATCAATTACATAATGATATTGATTCAATTAATCAATCAACATCATCAATATCTTCTTCTTTAATCAATAATAATAATAATAAAGTTTATGGTCGGTTATTACAATTAGGCCAACCGAATAAATTAAAACAAGATTATATACAATCTTATGAAATGGATTCATCATTATTATTAGATCCATCATCTTCGACATTAGATCTAATAGGATTAAATAAACAAATGGCGAATAATAAACAAGTTAAAGGAAGATTATTTCGTAGTAATACTGATCTACAAATACCAGGTAAGTTTCTTTTTGAATAAATGTTTATAATACTGTTGTATTTATAACTGGTATGTTATTACATAGTTGAGTGTCAGCCAGTCAGTAACAACGTAGAACTTCGTACGTACGTACATCAGTTCGATTTGCCATACCATATTAGCCCACAGATACAACTGTCCATTCAAATCTCATAGTGGTAGAGGTAGTAAGAGTATAAGCAGTCATCGGAAAGACTAGGGTTTGAAGATATTATTCAAAGAGTATAAATTTGGAAGGAGAAAAAAGTAATAGACATGAAGAAAGCAGAAGATTAGAATTTGAGAGAACACAAAGAATGGATTCACCTGCGCCATTGCAAACGATTTTCAGCCATATCATTTAAGGTCTCTAACCATCGGTTGCTGTCATCTTGCAGATCCCAATCAGATAGTCTACACCTACCAACATGACTCAGTTCACTTGTCAGTGACTTCATGGACTTGTGCCATGTTTTGGTTTGGCCGCCCCTAGCTTTCTTCCAACCTACTCCTATACCACTGAACATCGCACGTCGGGGCAGTCGGTGGTTGGGCATACGTAACACGTGTCACAGCCATCTCAACTGATGAAGTTTCACTACTTCATCAATTGATTTGACATTCTTACCTAGTACCCATCTCCTAACAACTGCGTTACTTACTCGATGGTCCCAGGATATACGAGCAATGTTTCGAAGACACTTGTGAGCAAATACTAGTAACCTACGAATATCCTCTACTCTTACCGGCCATGTTTCACTGCCATAAAGTAAGACGGGACGAACTGCTGCGCAGTAAACACGTCCTTTGGTTGGTAGACGGATATCTCGCCTATGCCATAAATGACGCAAGTTGGCAAAAGCTAGTCGAGCCTTCTGTATCCGTGCTGAGATTTCGTCACACACCAGACCACAAGGGCTGATGAGACTTCCAAGATAAGTGAAGCGGTCGACACGCTCAACTACTTCACTCCCTATCATTAGTTCGGGTGTCGATGCAACCCAATCCTGAAGCAACATTTTGCATTTCGAGGGAGAGAATCGCATGCCGAACATGCTTGCATTGTTGCTTAGAGTGGTCAGAAGACTCTGCATTTTGTCAGCGTCTTCACCAAATAAAACTATGTCATCAGCATATTCTAAGTCAACAAGTGAACCTCTCGGTAGAAGTTCAACCCCTGTATATTTAGATGAGGAAAGTGTTATCTCTAAAAGTACGTCAACGACAAAGTTGAACAAGAATGGAGAGAGTGGACAGCCCTGACGAACACCACTTGGGGTAATTAATTCTGATGACAGTTCGCCATAAGCTCTCACTCGATCAGTTGTATCCGAGTAGAGAGCCTTTACAAGGTTAATGTACTTCTTTGGTACTTCTTTCAGTGACAAACACTGCCATGGAACCTCACGATGTGACCAAATCGGTCTCGTGTGCTGTTGTGAGCATGAGGTCTGATATCACTTCCCAGTTGCCCACACCATGGAAGGGTATTTCTTGAGGAACCTGAAAAGGAAGTTGGATTAATGTTGATCTTAACGACCTGGGAGGGTGACCGCAGAGCCCAAGGGACAACTGATTGAGGCCGGTCGCGCACGGCTTTTTTGTGGGAGGTTTTTTAATGTGTTAGCTCAGTTCTTTAGAAGGCCTTAACGTCAGAGATGGAAATTAGTGAGGTAAGGTGAGGTGTGACATTTTTAGGGTTGACATTTTCTTACCCTGTCCTTCCTTGTGAGAAGGCATCATTGTTGAAGATGCTGGTTGTCCGAGGAAAACACCTTACTGTTGCCGTACCCCTTTACAGTCAGCAGTACGACTACGCCCTCGGACTAAAATTTATGAACGAACTAATCAGATTTAGGATAACAGATCTTGGAATTTGACGCGAAGTTCATTCATTCAATGAGGTAGATAGAATTTTAACACTTTAGCTAATGTGATATGCTTGAATGCTATTACGAGTTCACCTTACTCGGTAAACGGAACGAAGGTCAAAGATACAATGACACGATAGGCTATTCTAATCTGTTGTCCCCGGTCCTGCTAACTAGATCAAGAACTCTTGATGAGGCGCAGATAATGTGTTCTACAAGCACCCCGAAAATACGAGGTCACCAAATACACAAATCAAGCTTATTTATACAACGATAGGAACGCCCATGGGACAGCCACAAAATAGAGTACTAAAAAATCTGTCAACCAATGACAGTCAAGGATTTCCGAGTGAGAAATGTTAGCTGTAGGTCAACTAAGCGTCTCTCGGCACAAAAACATGAAATTCAAATTTTCAGAATAAAACTACAAAATTCGAACATTTTTCAAATGAGTTCTAGGGATCTAACGTCCTCAACATAATTTCAGTTCATGATGAAAACCCTAAATCTAATTCCTTACCTTAACCATCAATTGTAAATCCTAATTTGAATTCCTCACACTGGTTTATAAACCTTATTTAATCCTAGTAAGTAGATGGATATTCACAAAATCAGTTTAGTGTCATTCAAAGATCGTCCATAAAATATAGTATCACAAACATAAATGTTAAAATTTAGTTTTGTATTGATATTTAGGACTGTAATTTATCAGTCTGATATTGTACAAGTCAATGGCCATCTGTACTCAGTAGCTGAATGGATATTACGATGATGTTTGAAGCGAACGGTACGGGGTTTGAGTCCAAGAGTGAACATCATTTCAGGGATGTATGTACATCTGTCTAACTGGTCCCATATAGAACGAAATACGCTTCCTAGATTCCACTGTTAACCATTATCTATCTCTGTTTATAGATCTTAAAAGATTTTGAATGATTACTGTAAATAAGAAAGAAAGATTAGTTCAGCGAAGAGTTCTCTTTTCGGCGAATTCATTTCCAAAGCTGTACAATCGCAAATATATATACTTATTTATACAGGGTGATAATAATACTGATAATAAACTTATGATATACATGGTGACAGTGAGGTTAAATAAACAAAGGTATTAGAAAAAATGTTTTTTTTTTAAAAACAAGGAAAGTTTGATAGATAATGGCTTAGATAGTCATCGGGTAAGAGTAGCTCAGCATGATAAAATAAGACAAAATGTTGAAACAGAGATGAAATGATTTCGGAATGATCGTTGAAATAAAAACAAACCGGTTTGTTTTTATTTCAACGATCATTCCGAAATCATTTCATCTCTGTTTCAACATTTTGTCTTATTTTATCATGCTGAGCTACTCTTACCCGATGACTATCTAAGCCATTATCTATCAAACTTTCCTTGTTTTTTTAAAAAAAATTTTTTTCTAATACCTTTGTTTATTTAACCTCACTGTCACCATGTATATCATAAGTTTATTATCAGTATTATTCTTCATCTTCACCTTCATGAACATCAATTAACAGTCAAACACCATGACATCTACTCACTCATGTCAATACACGTGGACAACTACGAACACACATTCGACTAGAAAATATGGAAAGCTTCGATAGAGGAAATTCGAAAAAACATCAGAGAATTTTTAGAAGCTTGGCACTCAGATCAATCACCAATCAACAAGCACATGGAAATCTATCCAATTCATCAATCAATCAATCAGGAAAATTATACATAAACATAGAAACAAAAATCAAACCAATAGGAGACACAACCAAAACGAAGAAGTGAACAATGACAGATTTAAGGTCAACAAGAATCAATCAATATGGAGGTGTACAGGATAAGCTGTGAACCACATATGGAGAAATTTGAGCATTTCAGTTCTATGTGAAGTTTGTGTTAATGATGTCGTTCAGAAGAAGGATGAGAGCTTCACGACCAAACCATCGAACTCAGAGAACAAAACTTCATCAAAATCATCCACCTGAGTTAAAAGTCTTCTCCAGCATCTCAATAACAAAAGTTTACTCTTAGAGTTTACCTTAGATATGTTGTCTCCTTAAGTTCACTTCAGCTGGATAAAATTATTGACTTGTAATAATCAATTAACGCAAATACTACAATGTTTAGATATAGCACTGATGTTGCAGACTTATCTTTTCTTTTTATAAAGAGTTTTAATCTATATAATACTGCCCTGGTGACTTATTGTCACCATTGAACACCTCTTCCATTGTTCGTTTTACTCAAGTTTCATGTTTATTTCTTCTTATATAATTACATAATGATCTCTCTTTCTCTCACTCACACACAGATATGCTTATACAATTCTAAAATTTGATTACAAGTGTATCATTACAAGATCACTACATATGTGTTTCTAAAAAAACATTTTACATTCATAAAACAGGAAGTTCAACGTTTCCCGGACTTTGAAGTTGACTGATGTAGATTTGAATACAGTAGAGTGTCAATTACCTGAATATTCCAAGTATATCTTGCTGATAAGTCTCATCTTACATTAGAAATGTTTTACTCAAACCATTTAATTGATCAAAAAATGTTATTTACAAAACACTAAATTTATATCAATATATATAACATCTTTCTTGAGTTGGCTTCTCAGAACTACAACGGAGCCTCCAGAGACCCTAAAAGATCCGAAGAGTTTCCATCCAATCACAACATGACGGAGCTTTCTAGAATATCAACGTGGCATACTACTAATGTAAATTGTTATAACTTATGGATTTGTACCCCTATCAATGTATAACGTAATGAGTCCCCCAATTAGAGAACAGTGATTTATCAATTGGACCAATCACGCATAAAACAAGTACAAGCAGTCTAGAGTCTTTATCGGTCCTGCTTCTCTCCTAGCCCTGCCTGTTAAGTCCAGAACACCAATCTCATCCTCTGGAATATGAATCATTTATTTCAAACATACTGGGTTTATATACAAACCAGACGGACCATATCGTACTATAAAATAAGAAATAACATTTATACAAGATTTAGTCAAATGTGGCTGTGAATGTGGGAGGTAGTAATTAATAGAGAGGGACTAATTCAAGAATGGTTAATAGGTCAAAATAAAGCTCATAATAAGAGGGACATGAATATGAATAGTTTAGTAGTTTGACAATTATACAATAAAAGTATACGTATGGTAATGGTCCATAAATGGGTTATAACGGTTACCATTCATTATTCTCATCGAGATACAACAATCTTTAAAAGCTTCACCTTGCAATTACTGCTTATACTTTTATTACCTCTACCACTATGGGATTTCAATCGTCAATTGTATCTCTTTGCTAATGTGGTATAACAACTTGAACTGATGTACATACGTACGTACGATGTTCTACGTTGTTGCTAACTGACTGATATATACATATTGTATGACATAGATTAGAATTTGAGAAATAAGAATTCAAGTGTATATATTTCCATTCAATAAAATGACAGTTAATCAATACCAAATTAGGTAGGTAGAAAAAGTTACCTAAAATAAAATAATTTCTAACGTAATTTATTTTTATTCTCCAATAATAATAATAAACAAATGATATAGTTTGACTAATATAACATCTAAAATACTAGCCTCAATAATTATCGATCGCCTTACTAAGACTCGTGAACTACAAACAGGAGAAAATTAGGCTGGCTTCAGATCTGGCCGTGGTTGCATCGACCACATATCCACCAGTCGTCAGATTCTAGAACATAGACATACTTATCAGCGTCCGACAATGGTGGTCTTTCTTGACTTAAGAGCAGCATTTGACTCGGTAGACCGCGAGATTCTGTGGCAGTGTCTGTCATTGAAAGGCGTACTTCAGAAGTACATAAACCTTGTGAAGGCTCTTTACTCGAACACTAGTCGATTCAGAGCTTTTGGTGAACTGTTATCTGATTTTGCAACCTCAAGTGGTGTCCGTCAAGGCTGTCCACTATCTCCATTTCTGTTTAATTTCATCATAGACCTACTGCTAGAAATAACGTCGACTGAATTTTTGCGTACTGATCTCTTACCATGAGGTCAACTTATCGACTTGGAATACGCAGACAATATTGTCCTATTTGGTGAAGATGATAAAATGCAGAGTCTTTTGGTAGCCCTGAACAACAATGCCACGATGTTTGGGATGCGTTTCTCCCCCTCTAAATGCAAGTTGTTGCTTCACGACTGGTCTGCATCAACACCTGAACTAAGGATAGGGAGTGAAGTAGTCGAACGCATCGACAAGTTCACTTGTCTTGGAAGTCTGATCAGCCCAAATGGATTGGTGTCTGACTAAATCTCTGCACGGATTCAAAAAGCTCATTTGGCTTTTGCCAACTTACGTCACCTATGGCGAAGACGAGATATCAGTCTATCAATTAAGGGACGAGTATACTACTCAACAGTTTGTTCTGTTCTACTTTACGGTTACGAAACATGGTCAATAAGGGTGGAAGATACTCGTAAGTTAATAGTATTTGACCACAGATGTCCTAGAAATATTGCTCACATCTGCTGGGATCACTGAGTAAGTAATAGTGAGGTTAGATGCAAGGTATTAGGGAATGATGGCAAATCAGTTGATGATGTAAATCTTCATTGACTGAGAGGGTTGGGCCACGTGGTGCGTATGCCTAAACACCGATTACCACGACAGGCGATGCTGATTAGTGTTGAAGACGAATGGAAGAAAGTTAGGGGCCAGACCAAATCGTGGCATCAGCCCTTGAAGTCATTGACTTCAGGTGTGAACATTGTTGGTAGATGAAGACTACTTGGTTGGAGTCCCCATGACTATCGTAACCAATGATCGGAGACCCTGGCTGACATGGCTCAGGATCGACCACAGTGGTGTAGGTGTATACACTCTATGTCTTCCCTTAAACTATGAGATCAAAATCGCTTCATATCTTTCTTTCTACCAACTAATTCTTTCTTCCTGTACTATGTCCTTATACACAATCCTTCTTTTATATTACCATCACTGAATTAACTACTTCTATGAATCCGGTGTTCATCTTGTTATGTTTATGAGGTGTGGCAACTTGGACCGATGCATGTAAGTGCCCGTTCCTACGTTGTAGCTGACTGATTGAAATTTACACAAGATAAGGTAACATTCTATTACAAGCAATATCATGATATTTGATTGTTTTGGTTATTTGAATCTTCTCATTTCATATTTAGGATTATAGATACATCCTGTGTGAATTGTCTTGATATTGTTGTTAAGTCAGTCATAAGTATTATAAACAGTGTTGGATAGTAGTTAGCTGTGGAATCTAGGAAATGCGTTTCGTTTGATTTTTTTAGACATTCAATATTATGATATTGCAGCAAATTAACGTTGAGTCTTATTCGCAGTGGATCAACAGTGATCTGGTAGTTGAATGAAGCAAAAAAAAAACAATTTTAACTACACAATGAAAACAACATACAAAAATATCAGTGATTTGTGGAGATTATTAAGTTTTTGATTAAGGTCATGAATCGATTGATGTTACACCACCATTGGTGCACAACCCTATACTGATTACTGCCATATGCTCACTAGTGACCAGAATCGCGACGGAATTTTCGGATTTCTGGTGAGAAGCCGTGATCAGTGGATCTAATCCGTATCGGGTAGAGACAGGTATCTACCTCAGTATGTTGGGAGATGGTCGAACGATTTCATGGACTGGTTGGAGTTAGACATTAATATCGTTGGATGCTGGCTCGATGGTCTAGAGGCTGTGCTCGCGCGCAACACTGAAGGTCCTTGGCTCGAATTCTGTGAGCGGAATCGTAGATGCGCACTGCTGAGGACGAAACGGCCATCCAGTACTCCCAGGTTTTCAATGGTGGTCTAACATCAATCGATTCATGATCTCAATCAAATACTAGGTGGTTAAAAAAGTGTATAAAATATCTAAAACGTATGAAGTGATCAATGATCATTTTGTGAAGGAATTCAGAAAAGTTGACCATAATTTTCTTACTGTAAGATAGTTCATGATTGATAAAGGGTTTACTGATCACAATTCTGAGTACCCAGACTGTGTTTGAGCCATAATAAGGTTACTAATACTGAAGTGTAAAATACATACAAGGGATGATAAGTTTCGAATTAGAACAAATGTACTTCCTGCACTCTACGGTTATCTGAAATCCATTCATAATAACGAGCGGTTAATCCAACTTGTTTTGTGAATATTTCAGTATAATCTTAAAATAAAGTTCAATCTTTTGAACAGCTTCAATTAATGGTATATAAACTATCATCAAAGATCATATCAAATATTTCACATACATTTCGTATCATAAAGGTATTAACTTCAACACAGATTGAAGCAAAAATTGATTAATAATGAAAACTATGGATCATACCATTTCAGTGTTATAATGTAGATGTGGTATCTTACTCCTAGAAACGATCACATATATACACTACCGACAGAGTACTTTATCAAACTAAAATGATTAATATCAGATGGGTTTTTTGGGGATTGTAGTAATTTCAATGGTTAAGATCATGAGTCAATTGAAGCTAGACCACCATGGAAAACCTGGAAGCACTGGACAGACGTTTCGTCCTAGTATGGGACTCCTCAGCAGTGCTCATCCACGATCCCGCACCCCGCGAGATCACTGTGTATAATCATCGAAAAGTATCTATATAGAAAAAATATTTAGTTGTTTTTTTTTCCATTTATTTTATCATAGAAGGTGATGATCCAAATTTAGTCGAACTATTTCAAGTTATTGAAGAATCTAACAAATCAACCGGTAAGTTTACTGTAAATTCTTTTGAATACATAATCTACTTGTTTTAAATCTTCTCTATTATCATTATAAGTATCGTTTTCCAGATCAATTTATAAGTTTCATGTTATTTTCTCATTTGAAACCTGATCATATTGTTAATAGATGAAAGATAACACTGATTAATTGAAATCCCTAAAGGATCAATATATTCTTCTAAGCTGATAATGTGAAGTATACTCTAGGGCTATTATATTTCTTGTAATATAGATAGAATTGGAAAGGAAGGCTCAAGACAGAGTGGGTTGGAGAGTGCTTGTTGGTGGTGTTCTATGCTCTATTGAGAGTAACAGGCGTAAGTAAAAAAGAACATGCCTTATAGGGAGCATTTATCGAATGATTAAAGAATTCTGTTCCACCGGTCATACCGGATAATAGTAAAACAACTATAGTTTATACTTATTATTACAATTAACCTCCTCATTGACGAATAAGTTCCTACACCTTCCATTCTTTGTACTTCTCAAACATGTCATCCAATCATATTGATCATTTTAACAAAACGATGTTATCGGTTATTATTATTATCTTAAGATGAATATTAAAGTCAATAATTTGTACAATGGATAAACTTCACTCTTTTTCTCAGTTTTGACCTTACACCTGGCAACTAACTAAAATTAAGCTGGAATAATTATTTACATGATCGTAGTCCATGACGGAGGGGTGATGGTGGTTCGTTCTTTGTCGTTTTTACTGGCTTACATCAAAAATGTAAAGTATTCTTTGATGGAAATACCATTCCATCATGCTACAAACATGTAAATTGTAGCGCAGTCAATAATGATGAAAGACATCATACTTTCAATTAATTTTATTATAGAAACTATTCTAAAATATCTACAATTGAGTGACTATTACTGACTACGATATACTTAGTTGACTTGACAATGTCGAGTTTATTCCTAACTGAATTTCATGTTTATTTTAAGTCATTTAGGATAATGATAAGTTTAGTTATGAAATAAGAGTTGAAAGTGTAGATGGTTAATTTTTGTAAGATTAATTATCATTCAGAAATTGATAATTGGTCCTTTCTGATTCTTTTTTAGTGATTACTTCATCAAAGTTATCATTCCTTAGTTTTCATGATGTGATTATTGAACCTAAAAATAAAACGTTGAGAATAACCAACAAGTCAACCTCATAAGCCCCCAAATGCCCTGGTACGCCAGAGAATGGGGAGAGCCCTCTCTCTCTCTCTCGAAATGCTCTCACATGGCCACGTGTATATAGTCTCTGACAGGGAAGTCCTACTCACTGCATTCTCGTGGCACAGGTGTTGTTTTCGAAATTAAGAGGACGAAAAGTGAATATCTGGCGCTTTAACCGGGTTGGTGGACATGGAGAGTCCACCAAGGGGAGTTGGAAAACCGTGATTCCAAACCAATGGTGCACATGGGACCAGTATCCTGAGTGAACAAATAGTGTATGAACCAATTGTTGGTCACCGGCGCCATGTGACTGTATCTCCTGATGTTGTTCCACTACCTTGTGGACCAGACCTTTAAATCGAAGGCTTGGGGTGTGACCTCCTAAGAAAACCTCCCGCTTCGGTCTGGCCACTCGGGCACTATCATAGCCCACGCACACAAATCTAGTGACTTGTGTAGCGCATATGTATTCAATGCCCCTTTGTACCAATATTTATATGTTCAAATAATTATAATAATACAACCTTATGAGATATGAACGCTGAGTGATGATCATAGACTTTCTGACATGGTGGGGAAGATTTGTAACTCAGGTGGATGATTTTGATGAAGTTTTGTTCTCTGAGTTCGATGGTTTGGTCGTGAAGCTCTCATCGTTCTTCTGAATGACATCATTATTACAAACTGCAGATAGAACTGAAATGTTCAAATTTCTTCATATGTGGTTCACAGTTTATCCTGTACACCTCGATGTTGATTGATTCTTGTTGACCTTAAATTCTGTCATTGTTTACTTCTTCGTTTTGGTTGTGTCTCCTATTGGTTTGATTTTTGTTTCTATGTTTGTGTATGATTTTCCTGATTGATAAATTGGATGGATTTCAATGTGCTTGTTGATTGGTGATTGATGTGGGTGCCAAGCTTCTAAAAATTCTCTGATGTTTTTGGAATTTCCTCTATCGAAGCTTTCCATATTTTCTAGTCGAATGTGTGTTCGTAGTTGTTCACGTGTATTGACATGAGTGAGTAGATGTCATGGAGTTTGACTGTTAATTGATCTTCATGAAGGCGAAGATGAAGAGGTCGTCCGCTCTGTCCGATGTAGTGTGTTTTGCAGTTGACACAATTTATTTTGCAGATGATGTTTGGTTTGTCTTCTTTTATCATTTGATTCTCTGGTTTGCATAGGATTGATTGTAGTGATTTTTTCGGTCTGTGTGCAACATCTAATCCGAAAGTTTTCAGCGGTTTTGTTGTGGTTTTTGATATGCCTTTTATGTATGGTAGGATGATCCTTTCGTTGAGTTCTTTGCTTCACTTAGATTCTGATGATGCATGCGCCTGGTATTTTTTGATGAAGTTGATTGGGTAGCCGTCCTTTTGAAAGATGTCCTTCAGGTATTTCTCTTCATTTTTTCGTGATGCCAGTGTGCTACAATGTGTCATCGCCCGAACGAGGATTAACACTGATTGTACTATGGATAAAACAAAGGACACATTTGAAATCTGATCTATAATCTTTTCGATTACTGCTTATACTTTTACTACATCTATCATTATAGGATTTAAATCGACAAATGTGTCTCCATGTTAATATGGTATGACAACTTGAAGTGATGTACATACGTACGTACGAAGTTCTACATTGTTGCTGACTGATCGACATATACAATGAAGCACATAACAGTTTATCAATAATTCTGCTTCACAGATATCTGTTATGTTACATTTTTATTTGTATCGGTCAATGGTTTGATAACTATTATAAGTGACCTACATTTACTGATCAACTAGAATGAATTAAGGTGATTCCTTTCAATAGATGTGGGTCAAATATGTTAGACTTTCAGAAATCTTTCTAAATGATTGATCACTCATGTCTTTTTATATTGACATGATTAATAAAATTAATTTTAATGCCAGTTATTTACTAGTAACATGTTAGTCAACAGAAGAGTATTTACTATCTAAGATGTAACTGTCTATGTTTGATGATTTTTCTAAATTACCAACATGATATACCTATAAGCAAAGATGAATAAAGTGGTTGGCATTGGAATCCAGGATGTGTGTTTCGTCCATTTTTCGACTCATCAACTGAATGTACTTACATCTCAGAGTTGATGTTCACTCTGGGACTTGAACCCAGCACCGTTTACTTCAAATACCATCGCGCTATCCACTTATCTTCATCCCATTGTACAAGTTAGTGGTTATTAGGACTCAAGAGCTAAGTGGATAATCTAATAGCATTTGAAATGAATGGGACTGAATTCAAGTTTCAGAGTGAACATCAACTCTGAGACGTAGGTACATCCAGCTGACGAGTCCCAAATAGAACGAAAGGCTTCTCCTAGATTCTACTACTATCCATTATATCCATCTCATTGAACATATTATCTCTGTCATATATATATATTTCAACTTTAATTTTAGATGTTCCAGCACCAAGAATGATAACATTAGAACGTCAATTATTTCAAAGTGTATTGATTAGTTGGAAATCACCAGAATTAAATTCAATGAATGAAAATAAAATTGTATCTGCATATCATATTTATGTTGATGGACAATTTCGTTTAGCTGTTATGGCTAAAGAAAAAACTCGTGCACTCATTGATAATGTGGATGCTGATAAAGTACATAATCATTATTAATAATAATTTAATATTGAAAGGGGGGGTATGGGTATTATAGTAATTTTAATAGTTGAGATCATGTGTCTAGTGAGAAGCAGTAACTAGTGGAGTTCAACTGAGTCTGTTGTGAGATAGTAACTGACTGAAGACAATGGTGGATGTGTCGCTCAATTTTGTGGATTCGTTGAAGTTAGATATCAACACCATTGGATACTGGCCGGCTCAGTGGTCTAGAGGTTAAGCATTCGGTTGCGAGACTAATAGGTCCTGGGTTCGAATCTCACGAGCAGGATCGTGAATGTGCACTTCTGAGAAATCCCATACTAGGACGAAACAGCTGTCCAGTACTTCCAGGTTTTCCGTGGTGGATTAGCTTCAATTGACTCATGATCTCAACTATTAAAATTAATTTAATTTTTCTACATGCTGAATGTAGATTTTGTTATACGTTGGTATCAGTTGAAGAACTATACAATACATGAATTATTTGATAGTTGTTCACTTTCTGAATAAGAATATTGTGTATTTAAACAAATCCGAAAAGTTCTAATAATAATATTTGCTTTTTATCAATTACCTTGAAAGATTTCTAAGTATTGTTTTCATCTCATGTGTCAAAATGATGTTTTACCAGAAGATGGTGGTTTCAGGTAATCAACAGGTAGCCCTGAACCCTGAACATCTCAGTCCTACAGGAGGTTTGTCGAAGCCCAGTGATTGCGAAGCTAGATGACATGGGATAGAATCAATCAGAGAGTATCAAGTCCCTCAAGATTACAGGTACACCTTGCTGACAAGTGCTAAATAGCGTGAAACCTATGTCCAGAGTTTCCTGTTGATTACCTCCAACCATCATCTAATCTCATTATAGTACACACAATATCGAGTCATCTAGATCAGGGGCCATATGCTAACTTCGTCGATAGAATTCGATCTACACTAAGAAGGTCTTGACACATATAACATTGATCACAACTCAGTGATCAATCAATTGTGATGTTTTATAATGAAACTATTTCATATCATTAATTGGTTTGATGAAAGACCTTTCGAATCATCTTCATGAGATCGAACATAGATCATTCTTGTTATTTTACTAATATAACTTTCATTTTTAGAAGATGCTCATAAATTTTTACAAATAGTTGGTGGTTACTTATCAATCACTAAGGGATTAATGTTATATATAGACTGTGAAGATCGTATTGCGTAATCTAGTATTCTAATTTTTCTATTACGTCATCTTTGTTATTCACGTTCACATTGCCTCATGGAATTAGTACTTTAACACAAAAATCTATACTTGTTCACTCTATTCAACTGTCTAAGCCTGAAACAAGGTAGAAGAACAATACTTGTATTGTTACGTTGATAGTGATAGCTGTAATTCAGTATTTTTATAAGTAAGCTTTATATCAATTGACAGCTATCAATGATATGTATTTATCATCATCATTTATTAATCAATAAATGTATCACCAGTGATTTGTTCGGTTTGCGAATAGGCTACTGACAGTTTATCTGTTTACAAAGTAGTAGTAGTAGTAGTAGTAGTAGTAGTAGTAGTAGTAGTAGTAGTAGTAGTAGTAGTAGTAGTAGTAACAATGTAAATTGTGGTATAGATATGTATTAGCTCAAACTTCATCAACAAAACAATCAAATAGTTGAAAAACCAATCGTGTTAAAACATTGATATCAGTGATAGAGTAAGGCATTCTTACACAATGTGAAATTTCTAGCTTTGGTTCCCTGGGGTAAGGTCATGGTTGCACACTTTGTAAAAGTCCGACACTAGGATGAAACAAGTGTTCATTGCTTTGGAGTTTCCAAAGACTATCTGACTTACATCAGTTCGTAATCTTAACATGATTCAACAATCTGTATACCCTCGTAGTGATATTTTTATTCTGTTGATCACTCCGAAAGCTATTGATTACGTTGTTTTGTTAAGTTGCGAGTGCTCCCTACTAAAAAGTATCATATTAGAATGAAACAGTTTTCTAGTTTACTCTAAATTCCAGTAATATCCCAACTGGGATCGATCCATAATGTCTACAACTTAAAAATCAATAATTTCTTCGACATCACACATACTTATTGCTAACTAATCCCAACAGACACGAAACTAAGATTAAGACTTTCAATAAATCACTTCCAATAGTTTAACAAAACTATATATCATTCGATCTTTACAGCTAAAGAGTTGAAAAACTAAACTTAGTGAGATTAGATGGTGGTTGGAGGTAGTCGACAAGGAACCTTGGACCCGGATTTCGTGCTACTTGGCACTCGTCATCATGGTGTACCTGTAATCTGGTGCTCCCTGACGGATTCGACCCCGTGTCACCCAGCTTCACAGTCAGAGACGTTACCACAGAGCCATACGGGCCGCAACCAACCTCCTGTAGTACTGAGATGTAATCACAACTGATTGATCACTGGGTGGTGATCAATATCATGTGTGTCAAGTCCATATTAGTGTAGATCGAATGCTTTCTATTCCTATTCACTCTTTATGATGTTATGTTTAACATTCAAAAATATCTGTTTACTTATTTTTCTTATTTATTTTAGCCTCATCGAATTTCAATTCGATCTATTTCTTCACATGGTCAATCTAAAGATGCACAATGTACATTAGTTGTAGGTCGTGGTATGACTGCTACACCAGCTCGATTAAAAGCTACACAAATTGGTACTAAATCAGCTAAATTAAGTTGGATTCCAGGAAATAGTAATTATTATCATCGAGTTTACTTAAATGAAACTTCATTACATGTATGCAAACCTGGTGTATATAAACTGCACTTAACTGGTAAATCCTTGTTTAACAATTAAAATAAACTTCTTACTGATTAGTACTAGTCAATATGATATAATTGTAATCTTTAAGGGATTGATATACTATTCGAGTTTATAACTTACGTCTCAATCATATGTGTTAACACTAGGTATTCAATCTGTGACTGACCTTTAGTAATAATAAGATGATTATGGTAATAAATGAGTTTAACTATAGGTATTGGTAGCCTACTTTTAAGTATTTTGAGAATAATTATTCCTCTCAAGATTGTGGTTGGATGCAACTAGATGATTTAGACTTTGCAGGTGAACTAGCACACCGATAAATGCTGGTCAAGACAATTAGTGTAGCAACGGCCTCTTCATCAGTAGGCCTCAACATACACAAGGGGAAAAAGTAAGACTATCAAATACAACATGGAAAGCACCAACCCAATCGCACTTGATGGAGAAACTCTCGAAGAGATGGAATCTTTCATGTACCTGGTCAGCATCATCGATGAACAAGAAGGATCTGATGCAGATGTCAAGGCGAGGATTGGCAAAGCAAGGACAGCATTCATACAAGTGAACATATCAAATTCCAATTAACTATCAACCAACATCAAATTTGCAATCTTGAATATGAACATCTAGACAGTTCTACTGTACGGAGCTGAAACATGGAGAACCACTACAACCATCATCATCAATGTGCAAGTATTTCTAAACAGTTGTTTACGTCAAAAACACAATATCTGTTGGCCGTATACCATCAGCAACATCTGATTATAAGAGAGAACAAACCAGCTTCGAGCTGAAGAGGAAATAAGGAAAAGACGTCGGAAGTGGATAAGAAATGCATTACGGAAATCTTCAAACTGTATCATGAGGCAACCGCTAACTTGGAATTCTGAAGGAATACGGAAAAGAGAAAAACCAAAGAACATATTGCACCGAGAATTGGAAGCAGACATGAAAAGGATGAATAGGAACTGTAAAGGATTGACCAGTACAGAGTGGGATGGAGAATGCTAGTGAACGGTCTATGATCCTGAATGACGTGTAACATGCGTAAGTTTGTAAGAATCAAGCGATTCATACAAACTCGGTATTCCATATAGCTCTTTTTAAATAAGAATTCACAATTACAGATGTACAGTGTAAAGGATTGTAATTGCCAACATCATTCATGTTTACTTCTATAGAATTTCTTAACCTGATAATTCACGCATTATATTAAATCTAATCTTATTTATCTCAGGTCATCAATACAAGGTGATAGAAGTTTATGAATTTTACTTTTTCTTCAATAAACTTTTTAAATGAACAAAAGTAAAAAAAGACACAATGAATGAAATGAATTGATCTTTCAACATGAAATCTTCATATTAACTGTTTTGTCCTACTATGGGACTTCTCAGAAGTGTATATCCATGATCCGGCACCAAAGGGACTCGAATCCAAGATCATCAGTATTGTGTGCGAACTTCAAACCTCTGAACTATTGAGTCAGCATCCGATGGTGTTCATGTTTAACTTCAATTGATCCATGATCTTGAGCCATTCCTTATCTATTGTTTGAGGTAGATAACTGTCTCCATCCGACATGGATTGGACTTCACTGGTCATGGCTTCTCACTAGAACTCCAGGAAATCCAACTTGATCATCAGTAAACATATGATGATTATTATCAGAATGGGAATTTGTGCAGATTGTAGTAATTTTAATAGTTCAAGTCCTGAATCGATCTAAACTCGACTATCATTGGAAACCTTAAAGTTATGGACAGCCGTTCTGTCCGCAACTTCTCAGCAATACATATCTACGATCTTGCACATAGGACTCAAACCTAGGACTATCAATCTTGTGTACAAATTCTCAACCTCTAGACTCCTGAATCAGCATCTAACGGTGTTATCATTTCATCGTTTCTTTTTTGAAATTAATTCAACCGATTAATAATAACAGGAAGAACAAGAAACATTCAACCAATTGTCATCGCTTCATTTAAATGAATGACATAAAAGAGTTGATCTGAATTAAAGAAGACATTTGTTTCCGATCGGTCAAATAAGATCAAAATTTTAATCAATATCTATGATTTACATAATTTCATTTGATTGATGCATGAATAAATGTGTTATAGGTCATTGTGATATATCAACAGTATTGTAATGAACTGAGGGAAATAAAACATAATATCTGAGATATTGCAGAAGATTTGTAGCTCAGGTAGATGATTTTGATGAAGTTTTATTCTCTGAGCTGGATGGTTTAGTCGTGGAGCTTTCATCATTCTTCTGAATTATATCATCAGCACAAACTTCAGGTAGAAGTGAAAGCTCCACGACCAAACTATCCAGCTCGGAGAACAAAACTCCATCAAAATCATTCACATGAGCTACAAACCTTCTCTACCATCTCAAATAGAATGATCAAATAACAAATACTATTCTTGGCACTGTTCAACATAAACTAATTGTATATAGTGTGGTTTACTTCCTTGAAAACAATTTCTGACTGACATCAGCTTCAATGCCAAGACGCTATTTGGCTAAATGGACGAGTGAATTTCGCGCCAAAATTTAAGACCTGTTATTGTAAATCTGATGGCTTCATTCATAAATTATAGTCTCGCCAGACATTCTTCAACATTTTTGATTGTAATACTGGTATTTATCAATGCCATTAATGATTGTCGATCATTAATTCTATTTTTTATTTATTTGTCTTCAATTAGATTTACCACCAGATACTTTGCATCAAGTATGTGTTCAAGCTTTGCCATCACCAATTAGTGTACAAGAATCAGCTCAGCAATCTCCACCTTGGATTAATACTGCCTGGAGTGGTGTACATACACAGAAACTAGCTGCTTTTATCGAATTTCGTACATTACCTATAGGTACGTTCATAAAAACCGTGTTATATTCGTTTAAATTCTACTCAGTATATCAGCTATTGTATCGAATGTCTGTCTGAGTGAATCACAAGTTGGCAGAAGTCGAATATGTAAATCACATTATTTCGATTTGTTAATCCAAATATAACAAATTCATTATTAGACTTTAAGAACTTTTGTTCGATTACTGGTGGTCAAAATATAAGGCCATTGTTTACTATGGGGTGTTAAACTGGAGACGTAACAGTTCTCAAGTTCTACCTGGTTTTTAATAGGTTTTCTGGATAAGATCAGTCGGTGAAGTAATCTTTCTAAAGAAATATTTTATCCAGTCACTTTTAGGGAAATCTTATTTGTCATCAAACAATAGCACCTACTTACATAAGCCTGGCATCTTTCCTGAGGCATAGGCCGCTAACAAGGAATCTTCAGTTATATCCTTAACGCCCATTTCTAGTTGTTACCAAATGCTATTCATCCTCTTCATATCTTTATCCGATTCCTTGGGTCATCTGTTATGTGACCTGCTTGTTTTTATTTTGCCTTGGTGATCTCAAATTAAGGATTGTTATGTGATGCAGTCTAATGTTTTCCTCTTATCAGAATGTGTTTTGTGGAGATTTTTAGAAATTTTCACATATTGAACTCATGAGCCGGCTCAGTGGTCTAATGGTTAAGTGCTCGCGTGCGAAGCCAGTAGGTCCTGGGTTCGAGCCCCGGGTGGTGCGGGTTCGTGGATGCGCACTGCTGAGGAGTCCCATACTAGGACGAAACGGCCGTCCAGTGCTTCCAGGTTTTCAATGGTGGTCTAGCTTCAACTGACTCATGAGTTCAATCTGTGAAAGTTTTCCTCTTAGTATGTCGCATCCATTTTCAGCATCTTTTACTACTTTCCTCCTAAAATGGTTATTGGTTTGTTGTCTTCGATAGTGATTAACTACTGATAGTCTCTGGTCAAAATCTCACATAAGCAGCCGTTTACAAATTCTTATGCTTTCTTGATGATGGTTATAGTAGCTCCCAGAGTTTCAGATCCGTGCAGTAAAATTATTTAGACATTTGTGTTGAAGATTCTGACTTCGGTTTTGAAATACATTTGCTTCGAGTCCCAGATATTTTTCATTTGCGGGAATGTTGTTCATGCTCTGGTAATTCGTGCCCTAGTATCTATAAAGGACTCTCCTTGTTTATTTATGATGCTGCTTAGGTATGCGAGAGTTTTTACCACTTTCAGAGCTTAGTCATCAAGTGTGCCTTAGTGGGTACTCATTATGTTGTAAATCAGGATCTCGCACTTCCCCTTCTGGATGATGGGGGTTACTGCTGCATACATCGTTGTTATAATGACTGTCTTTGTCTGGATTTATTGCTGTGTATGCAATACAAATTTAAGGCAACTTCAAAGTCCAAATCATCCAACTCTATCTTCGTTATTCAGCGTATTCTGTGGCTCTACTGCGTCTTAAAGGGTTTTCATTATCCAGCCAACAGCTGTCAGGAATGATAAAGGCCACAGAAGGCACCCTCGTCTTCATTTGAAATTCATCTATGCTCCAACCCCCACACTCAACTTTGCAGTTTAATACGTCGTTGGAGTTCCGTAGATTATCACGATCTTTTCAGATACATTACAATGCTGAGGAATATTCCGTAAACTCTCTCATAATCAATAAATTTGATGTATACGTGGATGAGTTCCATGTAACTAATTGTTTAACAATGAAGCATAGTGTCGCAGCTTGTTAATATGTAATCGGTCCTTACGAAAGTAAGCCTGTTAATCTCGATTTCAGCATCTAACGAATCTTTCTTTTGGTTCCGAAACACTGTTAAAATTTTTACGTATCAGTAACAGCAATGTTATCTGTCTGTAATTTACACCTTTACTTATTATTAAGCATTCTCTTTTTCAAGGTCTTCTTATCAAATCCTTCTGAAGCAAACATGAAACATGATAGTGATTACCTCTATGCCTAACTTTAGTACGTCGGCTGGTATGTTGTCCAATCCTAACACTTAGTCACTTTTGATTCGTCTGACGGTGTCGGCAAATTTTACGATAGTTGGTGCAGCACTATCTACAAGAACGTCTGTGTGTGTTGCCCTGTTTTTATGGTACGGTGTGGTCTGTCTGGTTGGCATATAAAACCCAACATGTTTGAAATAAATGATTCATATTACAGAGGATGAGACTAGTGTTCTGAACTTAACTGACTGAGCTAAGCAGGAAGTAGGACCAATAAGGACTGTAGACTGCTCGTACTTGTTTTATGCATGATTGGTTCAATTGATTAATCACTGCTCTCTAATTGGCGGTATCATTACATTATACATTAGCAGGGTATTCAGGCCACAAGTTATAACAGACTTGTGCTTCGATTTCATCCGCTTTTGATTTCTATTTTACTGTTTATCCTTTCTTGAAAATTGCCAAGGTTGTTTATAGGAACCCATTTTCTATACTAGTGCTTCTTGAGGCCCAGCACCTCCTGGCATATTATTACTTCCATAATACCTTTCTAGTTGTTCCCTCTAATGGTTTCATTTTTCTCTAGTAGAACATGTCAGTTTTTGAATTTGTTGCTGATATCTAGCTTGAATTCATTAAGTTTGTTAACATCTAGAAAGAAGACTATTAAACTTTTCAGTGATACTTATTGAGCTGTATAGTGATTTTTCTTTCAGCTTGGCTACCACCAGATAGTTATCTGAAGCTATGTCAGCTCCTCCCTTGTTCTTATGTCTTCCACTGACGCATTAAATATTTTATTGATCTATATGTAATCGATCTGGTTCACAACACCGTAAACTGTTAAGACCCATGTAGCTTCATTTATGCATTTCGGGGTGAAAATCCTACCCCCTATAATCAATTCGTTGACTTCCTATACACTTTCCAGTCACTCATCACTCTCGTTTCATTCTTTTAGTCCATGTCGCCTGATGATATCTGTTACTTCCATACTTATGTGGCACAGAATTTTTATGTCCTCTAATTCAATGTTTGACAAGCACCTTTGTTCACAGATAAATACAAAAAGCAATGTTTGAATTCGGGAAAATTCTAATTATAAAGAATATAACTATGAATCGTACAAGACATCTAAGTGAATAACACCAAGCTTATTGTAGAAAGAGTTATGCATTGAAAAAAGGTAAAACGTTCAATGTCTGAAAGTTACATCCAGTTGACGAGTCCCTAATAGGACAAAACGCGCATCCTGTAGTCCACTACTAGCCATTAATCATCTTTGCTGATATAGTGTTATTGTTATATTAACTGTATACATGGGAGATTTTCATAAATAAGCACAAATATACGTATGAACCCATAAACGAAAGGACTTTACAATATCTTCATACCTGATGTTGTTCATCTCATCAAGATAGTCAAGTTTTGTTCTGCTCGTTTTCATAGGATGGAGTGAAGTCCGTCATAAAGCTGATTTTTACCATCTTCTCTGATATGGCTGACAGATACATAGTACTAGATATCATTCATTGTAATTAGAAAATAGGTGTCCAAAACGCTTAATTAATGCTCCTTAGAATCTGTGGCTATGTTGGTTACACTTCATTTGATTAGCTGGTAACAGCTAAATGAAAAAGCCATAGCATTTGTGATATACAGTTGGATTTTTTTCTAAAGCAGATGGCTAACAGGACTCAGTGACCAAGTGGATAACGCGATGGCGTTTGAAGCGAACGGTACTGGGTTTGAGTCCCAAAGTGAATATCAACTCTGAGATACAGGTACATCCAGCTGACGAGTCCCAGAATAGAACGAGACGCCTGTCATGAATTCCACCGCTATCCACTATCCGTTTTTGCTTAAAAATGTTAAAATAATACTTTAAAGCAGAAGATTACTGAATAACAACCAATATCACGTTATCTTATCATAACGTTTATTGGATTCCGTCTATACAATTTACAAGTAGGTAGGTCCTGGGTTCGAACCTCGCGAGGTGGGGTCGTGGATGCGCACTGCTGAGGAGTCCCACAATAGGACGAAAAGGCCGTTCAGTGCTTCCAGGTTTTCCATGGTGGTCTAGCTTCAATTGACTCATGATTTTAACCAATGAAATTAAAATAGCAAACTGTCAATTTTTCTCAGTGGATAATTATAATCTACTTGAAGTGTTATTGAACTCATGAACAAATCTATGTTTGACTACCATTGAAAACCTGGAAGCGCTGGATGGCTGCTTTATCACAGTATGAGACTTTTCAGAAGTGAGCATTCACGATTCCTTGTACGGGATTCGAACCTGTAACCTCTAGTTACTCACACGATCTCTTAAACTCTAGACCATGATCTTGAGGACGAGTTCTACGCTAAAACCAAACAACCGTTCAGTGCTTCCACATTTTCAATTATGGTCTAACTTAAATCGGTTTATAGTTTCAATATGATTCGACAATTTTCACAACCGCGTACTGAAAATACTTGAAATATATTTTACTACCTTAAGACAAGTTTATCATTTGTTTATATCTTCAATGATTAAACTAAACAGATTAGTTTGAAAATGTTTCTTTTTTTTAAAAATAATATACTTAGGCTTACCAGATCCTCCAAGTCATGTACAAATTGAGGCTGGACCTCAAGATGGCATGCTACTTATCACATGGCTTCCAGTTCCACAAGATAAAAATGCAGTAGAAGCTGTTACAGCTGCCGGTGCTAGTAGTAGTTTACCAGTACAAGGATATACTGTTTGTTTGAATGGTCAAGCAATTATGGAAATGAAGGGAGCTTCAAGTAAGTTTTTCTTTAAATAAGAAATAATATTATATGATTCCCTTTACAAAGACAAAAGGAGATTCAGTCAATCTTTCGTTGAATAAAATAACATTGTGTAGAAACAAAACGACTAAATTGAACCGTTATATAACTAGATACTTGTATTTATCTAGTTTCTGGGGAAAAAATCATTTACTAAGTAGCTACTTTCAGTGATATTTTCATCACAAACTGAATGATATTAAGATCAGAGTGGGTTTTTGTGGATATTATAATAATTTCAATCATTTAGATCATGAGTGAGTTGAAGCTAGGCCACTGTGGAAAACCTGGAAACATTAGACGGCCATTCCGTCCTAGTATGGGACTCGTCAGTAGGTCATCCATGATCCCACTAGCGAAATTCGAACCCAGGACCTGTCGGGTTCGTACGCGAACTCATAACCTCTAGACCAGTAGAGTTCAACCGTTTCTGTCGTGAGACAGTCACTCACTAAAGATAATGGTGGAGGGTGGCGCACTTTCGTGGATTTTTCGAAGTTGGTCATTAAACCGTTAGATGCCTGCTCAGCAATCTAGGGGTTAAGCGTTCACGCACGAGATCGAAGGTTCAGGGTTTGAATCCCACGGATGAGATCTTGGATGGGCGCTGCTGAAGAGTTCCATACTAAGGGGGAACGGCCGTCCAACGCTTCCAGGTTTTTAATAATGGTCTAGTTTAGATCAACTTATGAATTGAACTATTAAATTACATTTTAATTTGTCAACGATCTATCATTTAGTATTTATATAAATTATTTGATATACTAATCATTTCTACTACAAAATTACATGAGTTACATTCTATTAATGACTAAGGATATCTGTATTTTGACAATTATCAAAGGCAAGGCTATAATATATAGACAAACCAATGAAATTAAAGATAGCGAGTTTGGGACGTTGAAATGTAATTTATTCATCTTTATGATTTAATAGTATGTTTGCATTATAATTTATTCTAGTTCGTGACTAAAATCTTTATTCTAATTCCAAATCCTAAATTCCAACTCTAAATCCTAATCCTAATTCCTTCTACATAATTTCAAACCCTTTTCTGACCCTAATAAGTAGATACGTTATCTCAAAGTCACTTTAACATTACTCAAACCTACTTAATTACTTACGTCTATTACTCCCAATGGAGCATAGGCCAACAACCACCATTCTCCAACCCATTCTGTCCTGAACATTCCTTTCCAACTTTTGTTCATTTTTCTCATGTCTGTTTCCATTTCTCGGCGTAATGTACTGTTTGGTCTTCCTCTTCTCCTTTGGCCTTCAGGATCCCATGTGAGGGCTTGCTTTGCGACTCAGTTGGGTGCTTTCCTCAATGTGTGTCTCATCCACTTCCAGCACTTCTTCCTGATTTCTTGCCCCGCTGGAATCTTGTTTGTTCTCTCACACAATAGGTTGTTGCTGATAGTGTCTGACCAATGGATCCGAAGTATTTTGCATAAAAACTGTTAATAAACACCTGTATCTTGTGGATGATGGGTTTTGTAGTTCTCCAGGTTCCCACCACATACAGTAGAACCGCCTTGACATTTGCATTGAAAATTCTGACTTTGGTGTTGGTTGACAAATAGTTGTTTTGAGTTCCAGATGTTCTTCAATTGTAATTATGCTACTCTTGCTTTCCCGATCTGCACCTTCACATCTGCATCAGATCCACCGTGTTCAACAACGATGCTGCTCAGATATATTAGAGATTTTACATCTTCCAAATCTTCTCCATCAAGTGTGACTCGATTGGTGAATGCTGTGTTGTTTCGGAGAATCTTGCTTTTCCCATTGTGTATGTTGAGAACTACTGTTTCTGAGGCTGCTGCTACACTGGTCGTTTACTCCTGCATTTGTTGTTGCGTGTGTGATAGAAGAGCCAGATCATCTGCCAAGTCTGGGTCGTCCAGTCGCATCCTAGCTATCGGCTAGATCTTATGCTTCTCCCCAGATGTTGATGTCTTCATGATCCAGTCGATCACCAGGAACAAGAGAAATGGTAAGAGTAAGCAACCTTGCCTGACACCGGTCAATTGTCCTCCATGCACGATTTTGCAGTTTAATTTATCATAGGAATTCCGAACATTACTCAAAGGTCATCTATAAATTAAAGTTTCACTTTATCAAATACTGCTGTAAATTTCTATCAGTTGAATAAAAGTTTCTTGTTGAAGAACTCTGAAGTTTATAAGCACTGAATATACAGTAACTTTCAGAAACATAGTGTTAGTAGTAATAGAATAGAAATGAACAATAAATAAACTCAACTGTTGTGGTGTGGGTTACTTATATCCACACGAGTAGTATATAACGGTGGTCAGGCATAGAGTGTATTTCAGTAGAAGATCGATGAGGAAAGAAGGGGAACGAAATACAATTGGTATGAAAACGTATGAACAATGAAATCTGAGACCATGGCTGTGATATTTATAAAAGGAACAGTCAAGATTGAGACGATGGATAGATATACTGACTACATAGTTCTCAGATTTTATTGAGATGCTCTGTAATTTTGTGCTCAAATACATTCGATTGTCCCCACTGGTGTTCTGTTCACTACACTGTCATTGAAATAGAATTAATATTAAACTGAATTAGTCTAATGTAAATTGAATTGAATGAAATTGACTTTCATTAAACTTATAGTGTGGTGGAGAAGATTTGTAGCTTAGGTGGATTTCAGGTAGAAGTCTTCTTCAATGATGAAAGCTCCATGACTAAACCATCCAGTTTAGAGAACAAAACTCCATCAAAAACGTATAGTGTTCGCCACTGACCACCCCATAAGAACTAAATGACATTGATATTAAAGAAATGTATTTTCTATTTACTTCTTATACATTCTATCAATAAATCATGTCGTTAAAATGTAGATAAGTATATTTCAGATATTCTAATATTGAACTCCAAACATGAAATAGAGGATTCAATGAATATGGAGTTTGATAATACACTGACTTAGTGAATCATATGATGACACCATTTTTATGAGGTATGTGGAAACACAAGAAGAGGAACGACACTTACACATTATCATACAGAGATGTATAAGAAAATGTTTAAGGTTACACATAAGCAATTGACGGGAGAAAATGCATAAGTGTTAAAATATCTGGGAAAAACTAGAATAATTGGTCTTTTCAAAAGTTAGAATAATTTACATAGGCACGTAATAATACAAATTTCTACACCTCGCATAGACTAGGGATAAATTGTGTACGATATAATAATCTATCACAGTTATGTAATGGTTTATAATAGGTCATATGGATGTGCTTACAATCACAGATAGGATTAAAGGCAAATATGTTAGTCACAGTGGTCTTCAGTGCTGTTGGAGGTATGAAGATGGTTATCACTTCCCGGTTGCTCACATCGTCGAAGGGTTCTTCTAGAGGTACCTGAAAAAAAGTTGGATTAAAGGTGGTCTTAGTGGACTGAGAATGTGACTGCAGTGCCCAAGAGACAACTGCTTAAGGTTGGTCACACACGACCGTTTTGTGGGTAATTTTTGTGTTAGATCCGCATTGTTCAGACCTTACTGCCGGAGATGGATATCCGTGGGATAAGGCGAGGTGTGCATTTTAATGGTCGACCATTTCTAACCCCACTCCTCCTTGTGGGAAGGCAGCATCGCTGTCATGCTGGTTGTCTGGAGAAAATACCTTACTACCGTCACACCTCTGCACAGTCAGCAGTACGACTTCACCCTCAGACCTTAGGTTTGCTGCTTTTAATCTAGCTGCTCTTCAACCGACCTACCTGGTATGGTAGGACCTCGAGGAACGATTGTTCCAGCCTGTATAGCTCGACTGGTCCATCACGATAGACAAACCCGACAACCACTTTAAGGCAGCAATGATTGGAGACTGTGGGTGACATGCGACGGAATCACTCATTGTCTTTCTTTAAACTATGAGATTAAAATTATTTCATATCTTTCTTTCTGTCAACTAATTCTTTCTTCCTTTACTATGTCCTTATACACAATCTTTCTTTTATATATTATGATCACTGAATTAACTACTTCTATGAATCCGGTGTTCATTTTGTTGTGTTTATGAGGTGTGACAACTTGGACCGATGCATGTAAGTGCCTGTTCCTACGTTGTAGCTGACTGACCGCCTGACTGAATGATGCTAGTCACATAATAATGTAGTCATATGTACTTGAACATATTTTTAGAATACTGAATAACAGGGTAAAAAGCTTTATCTCATGTTTAACTATTGTTAAACATGGTTTTCCAATTCGTGCGTTCATGAAACCATTTAACATGAACTTGTTCTTATTACGAATCATACATTCAGCTTTCTTATTTTACATAATACCCTTACTAAAAATTATTACTGCAAGAATTATGTAATTATAATTGAAGCGTATCATGAAACTATGGTTGAATACAACTATTCAGTTTCACATTTGTGGATGGTGAAATGTTCGTTAACAAGTAATAAGTAAACGGTGTTCCAATTCTGATTTGTGTTGCATACTACTTGTATCGATAGTTATAAGTAGCATATCCCACATATACTATATATACAAATATAGAATAATTCCCAAAGTTTCAACTTTCTTTTTAATTTAGTGGATGAATTCATGAGTCAATTGAAATTAGACCACCATGAAAAACCTTGAAGTACTGGATGATCGTTTCGTCCTAGTATAGGACTCTGCAGTGACCTAGAGTTTAGGCGCATACGCCCGAGACTGATTGGTCCTGAGTTCGAATCTCGTGAGGTGAGATCATGAATATGCACTGCTGAAAAGTCCATCCATTGCTTCCAGGTTTTTGTTTAATGGTAATCATGAATTCATCTACTACAACTACCACCCCCATCCCTTCTGATTTGTTTTTAATTCTAGCTCAATTGTTTATTTATGATTATTCTATTATAGGAGATCATGCTATATTGAAATTATCTACAATTAGAGATCATATTCAAAGATTATTCAATAATTTTACTCAATCATCAATCGATATTTATGATCATAATAATAATAGTTCAAATAAATTTTCAACTACATCACCATTAATTATAGAATTATATATAACTGTACATTCAACAATTCCAACAGAATTATCATCTAAAGAAGAAATAAATACACTTAAAGAATGTACATTATTAAAAGGTTCAGAAGGTCCTGCATCGAAACCAATACATTTAACTGCATGTTTATTAATTATGGCAGCTGGTTCACTTGAAACAGCTTATAAAGTATTTGGTCCTAATCTTGCAACTAAACTTGGTATAGTAAGTTTACTGGTTGATATTTTAAATGATAATGTTTTTTTTCTTTATGATTAGATTGTTATAACTTGTGGCCTGAATGCTCTGCTAATCTATAATGTAATGACACCACCAATTAGAGAGCAGTGATTAATCAATTGAACCAATCATGCATAAAACAAGTACAAGCAGTCTACAGTCCTTATTGGTCCTACTTCCTGCTTAGCTCAACCAGTTAGGTCCAGAACACCAATCTCATCCTCTGCAATATGAGTCATTATATCTTAAACATACTGGGTTTAACATAGATAAATGAAATGACTTTGATATTCTTTCTGAGAATTGATAGGGGGTTACTATGATGGAGTTATAAGAGCTGTTAACGCATTTTTGATCAACTGAATTGTATCTGAACTGTTTTACAAGTTTTGAGTGTGATACTGAAAATTGTAAGTTGAAATTCTGATGGAGTGATTTCTTTCTTTCAACATTCCAGACTGTGGTAGAATGGAACTTAAATCTGAAAGTTTCTATCATTTACCATGAATTATTCAATGTTAATTAAAGTGTACAATGATATGGCATTAACTATTAATGTGATAAAACACGGAAATAAATCAAAACTAATAATTAGATAACATAACAATGGTTATTTATTTGCTTACACCTGTTACCCCATGTGGAAAAGCATAGGCTGCCCACCAGTATTCATCATTCAACTCTGTCCTATTCAATCCTTTCTAATTGTTTCTAGTTGCTAGTCTGTGTGTGTTCCTTGATTTTCGTCTCTTCCTTTCCCGTTCAAGATTCCAAGTTAGTGCTTGTCTCATGATTTATGTCCTATACACTTCCAGAGTCTTTTCTAATTTCCTCCTCATCTGGAAGCTGGATCACCAGTGGTTACTTCCTAATAAATGTCAACGTTTTGACATATACTTGAGATGTGAACGATTAATAATTAGTATTTTACTAAAATCCATTGAGTTTTCAATAAAATATCAAAAAAAAGTTATAAAGCATCCCCTTTCTAACAGGAATTTCAATGTTCTCCAAATAATATTTAAATTGAAGTATGAACTTCCTAACAACCATACTGTAATGATCAAGAACACAGGTGTGGGGAGCAACCAGTGTATATTAATACGAAATTACAGAGTTCAATACTTCATTGGAAAATTCCTTATAGGTTATCGTATACTACATTGTTCATCCATTTTCATAACAATTACTCTCTGTTCCCATTCTCTTCCAAACCGTCTACTCCCAGGTATTCCATTACTGATTGATGTTATATACTACTTATGTCGATATAAGTAGCATACACCACAATACTTCTGGACTGCTTAGCTTGATTGAGATAGTGGGGAAAAATACTTAATTGACACCTACACCCATGCTGGTAAAAATCAATACTTACAAAACATTCTTCAGCAATTTGGAAAACTCTATCGGTCTCCCACATTGTACGAGCATTTCATGTACCCAAATCAATGGTTGTTCTGGTTGTCAGACTGGGAATCAGCATCTTGACTTCCGAAGGAACTCGGCTTTCACCATGAAGCGTCATAGCTCTTCTAAATGACGACTTTCTAACTCCTAGGGTAGGGTTTAAATAGTTTGAATTATTTTTTTTAGTTAGCGTGTTTTTAGCGAGTTAGTTTTCTACGATATGGGGTCGCTAACCACATGCCTAACCCTCCTCCTATATTCGGGGTTGGGATCGGCAGTAGCCCTAGAGGAACTCCAGGGGGAGTTACTTGTATAGCATAATAAACTACATTCTTATCTCCATGTACTACATTGATTTAAAAAAATTTTACTCTTTGTATTTCGAAAAACTTAAATACCTACTTTTAAAAGGAAAGCAATTAGATATAGAATACATTCATAAACATGGTATAACAAATAAGTTTGTATAGGGAATAAACAATGTATTTTACAATTACTTTCATCATTCAAATATTGTGTTTTTCATTAAAACAAAAACTATGAGAAACCCCATCTAATACTAATCAACATATGTTCACTAGTGACTGGCTTCATGAGAAATTTCCTGGAGTTCTAGTGAGAAGCAGTGACAAGTGGAGTTGAACTGGATCTGTTGTGAGATAGTAACTCACTGAAGACAATGGTGGATGTGTCGTTCAATTTCGTGAACTGGTTTATGTTAGACATTAACACCATTGGATTCCAGTCGGCTCAGTGGTCTAGAGGTTAAGCGCTCACGCGCGAGTCTGACAGGTCCTAGATTCGACTCTGGTAAGGTCGTCCAGTACTTCTTGGTTTTCCATGGTGGACTAGCTTTAATTGACTCATGATCTCAACTATTAAAATTACTATAATATTCGCAAAAATCCCTTCTGAGAACTATGAAAAAGACTTTTCTCTTGGAAATTTCATAAGAACACAACAAGGACTTAGTCTAAGTACTGTCACATGTATTTTATCTTACTTTTCATTCAGAATAAGATATAATTATTTTATGTAGGTTAGCTGAATCTTTTAAAAGTACAATTCATTTCAAGTAAAATCTTGTGTACAATTGACCTTTTCTCATTAACCTAAGTGAAGAATTCCTTAGTTGGTTTCTGATTTCAGCACTTTTTTTCATGAGCTTATAGAGTTTCATGGTCGCTCACAATCCTATAAACACTCAGTATTTTGTATATAAATTAGCTTTCAAAATAGCGCTTCTTTTATACTTAACCGCCTGTATTGTGTTCTGACTGAAGAGTGAAAAACCTCTGAGGACTAGAAAGTGTTTTCAAAATAGGTGTTTAAGCATTCACGTGCAAGACATCAGTCTCTCTAGTTTTTGCTGCTATTCATGTAATACAATGCTACTTTGACGATAGATGTTTGGCAACCGCAGTTCTTAGCATGAGTTGATGTTTATATTTAACAATTAACTAATCATATTTGCTGAAAGACTCTTATTATTCATGTGACAACGATATTATGTATATAAAGCATTCGCTGTAAACAATTACGCCTTGACTAATTTTCATCATATTCCATTTTAGGCAGAGATAGATGGTGGCTGGCAGTGCAATCCAAGATATGCTTTTTGTCCTTAATATATAGATACATCCAGCTGACGAACTGCAAGTGGGAAGGAACACGTCTAGTAGATTCTGCTGCTAGCTACCATCCACCTCTTCACATAATGTTCATGATCTAAGGAAATATCAAGGTAATCAGTATAGGATACACTTATGTCAATAAGAGCCTGATCAATTTTAGTCCTAAACATCAATGAGAAAATTCGACCAACCAGTACAAAAATGAATATTCCATTTAAGTTTAAATACATATCTATTACAATATACAAAAGCAATGAATGAAGTTGAATACAAATCTCGATTTAAGTATGTTGTAAATCAGCGATCACTAGAATACTTACTTACTTACTTACTTACGCCTGTTACTCCTCGTGAAAGAGCGTAGGCCGCTCACCAGCATTCTCCATCCAACCCTATCCTGGGCAATCCTTTCCAGTTCCTATTGATCCTTTTCATATCTGCTTCTATTTCCCGACGGAATGTGTTCTCTGGCCTTCCTCTTGATCGCTTCCATTCAGGATTCCAAGTTAGCACTTGCCTCGTGATGGAGTTTGATGGTTTGCGTAATGTATATCCTATCCTTTTCCATCGTCTTTTCCTAATTTCCTGTTCAGCTGGAAGCTGGTTTGTCCTCTCTCACAGAAGGCTGTTGTTGATGGTATCCGGCCAATAGATGTTGAGTATTTTGCGTAGAAAACTATTTATAAATAGTTGTACCTCCGCCTGTAGCTCCTCCAGAGTTACTGCCGGTCCCAAGCCCGGGTAAAAGAGGAGGATTGAGAATGAGGTTAGCGACCCTATCCCGTAGAAAACTAACTAGCTAAAGAAAGATAACCAGAAAACAATCAATAAACCATGTTAAATTAACATTCTCTCTAATAAAAATTATATTAAGACTTAGATAACCATTAGTGTATCTTTATTCATGTGCTCATGTTGTAGTGAACAAGGACACCGGTGGGAACTAATCGAATGTATTTAACACAACATTACAGGACTTGTTAGTCAAATCTAACAATCATAAAGTAAATACTTAATTTGCAAAGTGTCCACCAATTGTCTCAAAATGACTTAGACTTCAGTGTTCTTGCATTTTCATACAAATTGCATTCTGTTTCCATTCTTTACTGTTCGATCTCCTTGTCTCTATGCTGCCAAACCTTCTGTTCACGACCAACATCATTTACTACTTATGTCAATATAAGTAGCACACATCACAATGTTACTTACATATTAAACTTACTAACACAGACTTAGTTAAATTTTATATTATGACGTAATATCATTGTAGAACAAATCAATTTTCATTTCCAAATTCAATAAATAATACCTTGACAAAATAAGAATTTTTCTTCATTTATACGTAGAAATATTTTACATTCAAGTTGTTTGTTATTACTACTATTATTATTAGTAGTAGTAGTATTGACAATGATACTTCAAAAGCAATAATAATAATTACATACATACATGCATACATACATACGTACTTACGTACATATATACATACACACTTACTTACTTACCTACTCAATTACTTACTTACCTACTTACTTACGTGCTCACTCACTCACTCACTCACTCACTTACTTGCTTACTTATTTACTTACTTATTTACTCACTCACTTACCCATTTACCTACTTACATGTTCACTTACTTACTTACATACTTACTTTACTTACGCCTGTTAGCCACAATGGAGCATAAGTTACCGACTAGTATTCTCCAAACCATTCTATCCTGGACCTTATATACACTTAAAATTAAAATGAACAAATTCAATTATCATTGTATAAAAATAAATTTGTTTTTATTTACTTTCTATAAAGTTAACTCATCTACTATCATTTGATTGATAGAAAACGTTTATTGATGTGTATTTTTTTGAGTTATGTAATGAATTATTTTGTTTTGTTTTTTTCTCCCCTCCATTTCCTTCTTTCATTAATTGTTACCAATTT